ATCTCAGGTGATTGACAGTCCCACGCCCAACAGTGTAATCGACTCGTGGACAACAAAAATTTCTAAGAAAAAAAATAATATATAAGTTTTGATAAACCATTTTCAAGCAAAAACATACTTTTCTACGAAACAAAATTGATAACTCTTCTTTGCATGTTTAAAACTTGTATGCATGTTAAAAAAAAAACATAAAACACACTTTAAAGTTGGTTGTCCACCTGACGAATATCCGTTTAAGCTGGGAAATAGCCCTCTAAGTGAGGTTCAAGATACCCTTCTAGACGAGTGGTGTGTTCTATACATTCGGGTGACCGAGTAGCCTTCGTGGACTCTCGAGAATAAATATACAGCTGAGTCTAGTCCCATACGAGTGCTTGCGGTCCCCCTCATCCGAATCTTTTTTTTTTGTTTTAACGAAGCTTTGAGACAGGGCACTCGTGTTACTTTTCCTTTCTTTCGGGATTTTCCCAGCAGTTTTGAGGATTTTCTTTTACTTGAGTCTTTTTCGTTGATTTTTCTCGAGTTCTCCGCTTTTCCTCGGATTTCCTGGATGACATTTTCTTCCGGACTTTGCTTTTGGAGATGCATTTAGGTTTGCTATATTTAAGGAACATCGGATCTCACGGGGGTACAGGTTTGTTTTACATTTTACAGTACTTTATTTTTCTGTTCCTACCTGCTACTGTACTGTACAACATGTTATACTTGTTCTGTTTCTGCCTGCTACTGCCACTGTCCTGTATAACTTGTTATACTTGCTATGTTTCTATCTACTACTGTACTGTATAGCATGTCATATTATTCTTGTTTTCACCTGCTACTGTTCTTTCTATACAACATGTTATACCATTTCTTTTCCTACCTGCTACTGTACTGTATATCATGTTATATTATTCTTGTTCCTACTTGCCACTGTACCATACAACATGTTATACTAGTCCTGTTGTTGCTTACTACTGTTCTACATGCACCCTACTGTTTGTCATGTATTGCACATTTTATATATATAGCTTTAAGCATGCTTTCTTTTATATAGGACATTTAGATGACTACAACCATAGGGTCGTTTGATTTGACATCGTAACTGGACACCTTAGAAAACTTAAACTCGTCACGGCAAGGAGCTTGGAGCGAATATCGTGGACAGCACGACGAGGAATAACTTCAAGGTGAACCTGCAGCAGCAAAACACATCCACATCACCTATCACCTTCTTTAGTTTAAATAACAACCCCATAGGATCACTCTTTAGACTTTTTGTACAACTCTGTTGTATGATTATAAGTCCTAACGTTTTAGGATTCTGAGGTTACCGTGCGGTACGGTGTAAATCCTCCCATCTTTTTAGGCTATTTGCACAGTTCGATATTGTGCAAACATAAGTCTTAAGTCCTAAATAATTTGCAGGATTGAAATATCAAATTATATCACTTCAAAGACATAAAGCCAAACATTAGGATAGTTGAGACATCTCTGGGGTTTCTCCTGAATCTGTGATATCCCCTATTTTTCTTCCCTTTGGATTCCTTAAATAATTGTTCCTATTTTGAGTCGTTCCCATTTGATTTTTCTATGTCCAACCGTGAAAACCTAAACTTTGAAATCTTGAAAACAAAACCACATGATTTTAATCGAGAGTTTTCTTAAATGACTTCCAGTCATTTAAGATATAATTAACTATAGGGGTTTGCCTCTATAGGGAACCAGGAACCCAGATAAAATAAACATTATCTAATCCTCGTATTAGGTAGGGGAACTTATCCGCAAATAAGACAATTTCGCAGACCAAACGGATGTCACAAATTGTTTAGTCTAGATGATTGAATCCTTATTACAAGTGGTATATTTATTACTCGGGATAAATGTATTACTCGTAATATTGTATTAAATCATCTAAACTATTTAAAATGTGAGACTCGTTTGGTCTCACTTATTTTAAAAATTAAAATGTTACTTTTAAAAATCAGAAGGGGTTATATTCATATTTAAATTATTTTTTTTAAATCACAAAATCACTACTTTTTCAAACCACGAAAATTAAAAATAAAACGGCCGACAATGCCCAATGCGCATATGTCAAATTCTGGTTGCTTCATCTTCTGACATGAAAGAAGCAGTAACTACTGCATCACCTACCACAATAGAGCCTTGCAAGACATATAGTCTCACAACCTCCATCTATCCCTTCATCATAATAAGAAATCCTTTGCCTACCTTAAAAAATCCAACTTCACCAAAATACTTGTACCCATTAACATCAAGAGTACTACAAGAAATCAGATTTCTTTTCAGATCTGGGACATATTATCTCACATCTCCAAGTGTTCTAACAACTCTATCAAATATCTTTATTCTAATAGTTTGGACACTGATTAATTACAAGGAGTATTATTATTCAGAGTATTATTATTCAATGACACGGGATCCTTTGATACTATTTCATAGGTTAAAAATCAGTCCCTATTGGGACACATATGAAATGTGTAAGCTGAATCAAGAACCCAATCATCACATGGTTCTCCATCGGAAACAACTAGGATTTTACCATCATTAATAGCTTTTTCAATAATACTGGCTTCATCGGAATGATGTGATTGTTTGCCCTTCTGATTTAATGCTGCTTGCTTATTTTTATTCTGCGATTTGTAACATTTAGATCTGATGTGCCTTTTTTTTGCAGTAATTGTATATCTTATCCTTATTTTTGGATTTTGATCTACTCTTTGTATCAGCGTCAGAGCACATCTTTTGAGTTCTACCTTGAATGACAAGACCTTCTCTTTGAGCAATAGCTTCATCCGTAAGTTGCTTCATCTTCTCCTTAGAATCTAAAACATCATATACTTCTATAGTAAGTGTCTCTCGTTCATATAAGATCTATCTTTAAACATTGTATATGATGAAGAAAGTGAGTATAACAAGATTAATGTCAATTTTTCTTTGTCATACTTAACTTCCATGACTTCTAAATCAGAGAAGACTTCTTTAAAGACAATTAAGGATGCATTTGGGGCGGCAGTGCGGTAGTAGTGCGATGCGACACTATATTTTTTCTTGTTTGGAAAAAACTGTGTTTTGCCTACATTTTCAAAAAGCTATAACTAAATGCTACGTTTTCTCGCCAAAACTAGTTATCTGCAGTTACTACTAGAAAACCACGGTCTGACTTTTTCAAAAGAAAAAAAATGTAATAGCTATCACAACTTTTTGAACAACAGCTTCTCTTTCAACAACTTCATAATTGCATTTTCAAACAGTTGCAGCTGCCCATGCATCTTTTGTTATTCTTTGATAGTGCCAATGCTGATTTAAGTACAACTTATCGGTTAGACATTTCGTCTTGCACAATTGCTCTAATTTGAGCCATAAGGCAACGACGATCTTTTCCTTGAAAACATCATGTAGAATCTGATTTGATAGATGAAGATGAATTTGAGAAAGAGCGTTTCAATCTTTATGTTGGTTCTCCTCAACGTCCATGTTGAGGGTATCCTTTTGAGTCCAAGTAGCATATCATCTCGATCCATTTGCGCTAAGACTGCTCGCACTTTAATCTGCCGAAGGGAAAATCTGGTGTTGTGATCTAAAAGAGGGATGTCATACTTTACTGTTGTCATTGTCAAAATCAAGCCCGACTCTAATACTACTTCTTAGAACTTGATATTAAATCATTGCAACAAGTAATGAAATAAGCAAAAGAGAAAACACAGGTTTAATGTAGAAAACCCAAGCTGAGAAAAACCACGGGTAGTGGAGGAGGATTTGCCATATCAAATAAGAGATTACAAGTAGAGAGTATCTTGCACAAAATAGAAAGTAGAAAGATGTGTATTTATAGTCTTAGCAATACCCTTTTGAAGGAAATAATTAAATGAGAGCCAATAAAACTATAGCACATAGTTTATAATCTAAAAGTTAATATAAGCTTGATCTAATGGTTAAAACTTTCAATCTATATGTTTGCAGTGTCTTTATGAAGCCACAATCGATGTGGTCAAAATTTTATTATGAGACGAAGCAGGACCCACAAAATTCGGGTAATAAATTTAGCAGATTCATAGCATAAAATTCCGTGTCTTTTTCTGAAAATCATGCATTAGTACAGTAATCATTCTTGACTGATTGTGTAGGCATGTCTATCTTCTACTTACCGAGTTTGGTTTGTGCTAAAAAATTGGAAAGGCTCAAATTAAGAAACTGCATTCATTATTGCAATCAAAATTTAGTCTTCCTGCCACAGTTGCTGCACATTATCCTATTAATAAGTTGTGGCTGCCCAAGCAGACGCTTAGACTGTCTTAGCATGGTTCTTACCTTTTGTTTTGGAGGTATAATTGGAGATGATGGTTTAGTGCAGTGGGTCCTGTTGAAATCTAGATTTTAGCAGTATTTTGGCGGGCAGCGATTTATAAATTTGTCGCAGCTTTTTATTTTTCTATCCTTTCAAATATGTGTTGATAGGACTTGCAAGCTTTTTTATATCGCTCTTAATCATTTTAAGCCGGTATATTTTGAAAAAGAAAAAACGAAGTTGTAAGAAATGTGAGGAAATCTGCTCCAGAATTAAGCTCTTGTTTTGTGTTTTTCATAGTTGCAAGTGTCTACATTGGATCAACACAAGTTGTCAGAAGTGATTTTCTCCCATTAGTTTTTAAAACCAGTCCTTGAAGTTCTTTTACCTAAGAGATTCATGCAGGTCTAAGTAGACCATGAAATTAAATACATAACATTTAGAAAGTAGTATTTTTTTTCCAATGCTTACATTCAATTTAATCTTTTTTCCTTCTCTTTCCTCTTTGAATATCTGTTTGTCGATTATGATTCCCACATTTATAAATGTATGCTGTAAATTTCTTTGACTTTGTCCCACCTTTGGTGTAGATTTTGTGGGGCGCTACTTCAAAAAGCAATGTTTGTAATGTTTATTCTTACGTTCATTATGAAATCTTATTCCTCATACCTCGCTATGCTTTGTCCTGGAATTCTATTTTCACTTGTAGAATCTTCAACCCAGCCATAAACATGAAGCAACAAAGCATTGCAATTGTACTATATCCGAAGTTGAACACATTTTGTCAAAGTACAAATGGGCCAAAGATGCACAGATGAAGATTGTTAAATTAAAGGAAGAAGGAAAACCGTTGCCAAAAAGTTTTAGTGAGGTACTTATGTTTGCAGTAATTATTTGTACTATTTACTCATTTCAAAACTGATGCTGGCTTGCACTGCCAAGATGCCATTGCTTGTAGTTTGCTTCCTTTATTTTTAAAGATTAATCTGTAGTATTTTTAAAAGTTTCTCATATGGTTGCATCAACTTCATCGTCCATCTGTTCCTTTCCCATGGAGAATAGTACTATGGTGTTTGATTGTTTACAATTTTTTGTGGCAACTTCAGTTTTAATCTTTATGTAGGGCACTCATATTATTTAGACTTTCGATGCTCCACATTCTTAGTTTAAGTTGCAGTAAGTGTCCACAAGATGTATAGTAATGAAGACATTTATGATACTATGGCTAAGAGTAATGGGCAATTAAAAGCACTAGTATAAATGTGTTTTAGTACATAAGCCATATGAGCAGTTAACATTGAATCTCTACACTAACATTTAAAATAAGAATTTATTGATTTACACTAGGGATGATGCTAATGATAATGACATAATGGTAATAGAGGGTATGCAATAGTATTTAACATGTAAAGTTAGTGTAAGTGCAATATAAAGTAAATAGATATTGAGAAGGAGGATACAATAAAATTTATATGGTCGGCTCAAGTCAGTGGTGAAACCGTATCTTGCCCACATGCCAATGGAAAAATTTATGCAGAGGGAAAGATTACACTCAAATTTATTATAGCGATCGCAGCTCTCTAAACTGATTTTTAGCACGAACAAAGAATATCTTCTCCTAAAGCCTTACAATGCCTTGGAGGTGACTAAGTCTATTACCAATAATTATTGGCACAAAAAAACTCTATACAGAGGATTGTAAATAAATACGTGCTATACTCAAAAGTATAAATTAAGAGATTGAAGGAGGATGGTGCCACACAAACATTATTCAAGGGGATTTGAAAAGTATGGACATTTTGAATCTACTTTTAGTTGATCAAACTCTTAAGCACGAAGCTTGTCTTATTTTTTTCATTTGATTTTGAGTCTAGTTATTAATATTTAAACTATATATGCACACACGCATGTGCGTGCCCACACATTTATTTTATTATTTATTTATATATAAGATACAAATCAGCTGAAAGCATTTTAGGCCATGCAAATATGGAAAATAGCCACCAAAAAGTAGACATTTTATGAATAAGTGAACTTTTATTTCTATTTTAACAATTTTGTTAGCAAAAATATATAGTATTACACATGAAATTTCACTTCAACAACTCAATTAATATAATTGAACAGAAATCAAGCTATATACTTTTACTAAAAAGGTAAAAAAAAAATTGTAATTAATTGATTAACATGTACAATTATTTTAGCAAATTTAATGGATTGCACGGGAAATTTAGTTTCATATAAACGATAAGATTTTTCTAGTGTATAATGTCATCATCATTATTATTTAGCTAATACTTGAATAATATATATAACACTTAGCAAGCTTTTAGATGCCATCATATAGATTAGCCATCGTTCTATCAATGACCAGCTATTCTTAGTACATACGATATACACTAATGCTCAGGGGGTTCACAGTTTTTTGCTTTTGCATTGATTATTTTTTCTTAATAATTTTTAAGCACAAATTTTTTAACTAGAAAATTACCAAGAATATAGTTGAAGCCATCATTAATTTCTGAATTACAATGATGCGGAGTTATTCTGATATTGGTTTCTAAGAGGACTTAAATGGAACTGTTTATGAAGGAATTTTATGCTTAAAAACACTTTAACTGAATCAAGTGTTCGAATTTTTCCAATAGTTTTATGTATTTGGCAACATGTTCAACTTTTTGATAGTCATAGCAAAATTATCACACATTCATGAATTTGCTATAAGATTAATTTTGTGTGCTTATGATTATGATGTTTGAGCTTAGAAAATTTCTGATCTTGTATTATGAATACTAATTATTTTTGAAAGTGTTCATGTGATTGTGTATTTTACTTGGAATATTTTCAAAGTTTCTTACCTCCATTCAAATAAAAGGACTGAATACAACTTTATTGCTCCCTCCCTCCTGTTCTCCCTTTCCCCCTTCCCTAACTATCTCTCCCATTCCTCCTATCTTTCAAGCCCTTTCTTGCATTTGTTTGCTCGATTTTGCCTAGGCCATCCACCATCTCACCCATACATACATTCATAACCTTCCTACTCCCTAACTCTCTCTCCTCAAAACTCCTTACCGACTTTCTATCTCCCTTCTTCAAGTTCCATTTAACGAATGTAGGCAATTCTTAATTTTGTAGGTGCAAAAGCTGATGGGCTCAACGCCTCTTGATGTTGCTAGGTCTAATATGTCCAAAGGCTCAAAGATAGGCAGAAATGATCCATGCTCTTGTGGGTCTGGAAAGAAATATAAGAGGTATGGATTCAAAGCATTTTATCAGCATTTTTCTTTATCTATTTATTATTGAATCATCCACCTTCAACTCATCCAATAAAATGAATCTAATTTTGGCAAAATGAAATGACTGCTTGTTTGTTTAGTTGAGGTAATTCACCAACTGCTATACTGCATTTCCTTAACTAAGACACTCAACCACTTATTTTTTGTTGTTAATTAATCATTAGCTGCGATAAGCTATTTTTATAGCTTAATTCGTAAACAAGATTAATAGTAAATATATTTTTTTGGTGCAACTAATAAACTGTCTGTGATTACTGATTCATCTGCCAAGCTTTGGAGGTACATACAAAAGCTACCTTTTTTCTACTTGACCAATTTAACCAGGACGATTCAAGTTAACACTGAATAATGAAGGGGTGGCCATACCAAAGTTTTTGTTCTTTTAAAATAATTGGATACCTTAATAAAAATTTAGATAATGGTGCAAAAGGATTTTCAGAGAGAATGTATCAGCTGGGCAAGTAAGAACGCAAGATCCATATGCTTTTCTTCAACAAAAGTTTTACTTTAATTACGTTTCAACTAAAAGTCTTCTCAAACAAGCTTAAGAATTTATTGTACATCCTGGATTTATTGCAGGCATCTACATGTCCTGTCTTTATGAACCTGAAGTAATGCATAACAATTGACAACGGGTTAATTGTATAGAGATCATTGGAACTTACTCCTGTTATTAACCTATGCTTCCATCTTTTTTCAAGAACATACTTCCCTGTGCCTTTTAGCTCACATCACAAATCCTCGTGAAATTTTTTTTGGATTTCTAAATAGCTATCTCATCTAACCACAATACTTTTTATGGCCAAGGATGTGGTTCAATGACTCTGAGACAAGTTGAGAAAACAAAAAAGGCCAAAAAAAAAAAAAAAAAAAAATCTAGAACTTTATTTGTTTTGACTGAAAATAAACAAAAGAAAAATCTGTTGACTGGAAAGCCTAGACCGTTTTGAGCCAATTCCCCCTAGACGAAGAGTTCCAAGAAACCTTGGAAGAAAAAATTGTTGCTGAAACTTCAGCGTTTCCTACTTCTGAAACAAATTCTTGATTGAAAAGTCCAGCTAGCTGTTGCTCTATGATTTCCAGCTGGAATTATAATGAGAGGCACTTGAACATCAAATTGATGAGGTCAAGAATTCCAGAATCTTTTGCTGTTCTGCTCATGTCAATCTTGAGGATCTTCTATGATTGGGCATCTGCCTCGAGCATCCTTGGTAAACGGCCAAAAAAGATTCTTTCATCTAGCTGTTGTTGTTTTGGAAAAAAATATTACATCAGGACTCCGCACGTAGTCCAATGAAATTATGTCGTGGAGGCGATCGGCCCGGTAACACAAGGAATATTCCCCTCGTGTTATTCTGGTGTTATTGTGTTATTCATGTGTTATTGTATGTTATTCAGGTGTTATTATATTCTGAGAATATTCCCGGTGTTATAATAACACAATAACACATCAATAATACTTGAATAACACACAATAACACCTGAATAACACACAATAACACCTGAATAACACATAATAACACCTGAATAACATACAATAACACCTGAATAACACAAGGGAAATATTCATTGTGTTACCAGGTCGATTACCTCCACGGCGTAATTTCATTGGACTCCGCACGTAAATCTACATGCGGAGTCCTGATGTAATATTTTTTCGTTGTTTTGAGGGTCTTTTTTCACTCGAAACTTGCTGCAAATGATTTAGTTGTTGCCTAAGTTGTATGCCAGACACTCTTGTCAATGGTGAATGGTACAGAGGTGCCCTTGGAGCCATATTGCCTAGAGTATGCTGTAGCACTCAGGACTTTAAATATAAGGCAAAATATTAAAGAAAATATGGATAAAAATGAAACTGAATATGAAAAGCTTGAAAATTAAATTTATTGAACTAAAATAATTAATTTTTTTTGAGCTCAAGTGTCCAACCACTCAAAAGTCATAAAATAAAAATTTTATTGCAAATATACTATTTTTAAAAAAAAATTATATTTATTAGCTCGAGAATCATTATCATCATCTTAATATAAAACAACCACTTATCCTTCTCAGTATCATCATTATTTCTTTAATTGTAATTTTTCTTCATCAGCTTCACCATTTTCATGCTCAATCATAAGTGCGTTAAGGATAAATGAAGATTTCTTCTGTTTTCTTTTAAATTGTTCTTGAATCAAATCTTCCTCATCAATAAATAGGACTATAATCAAGTTGGCTCAAGCTGAGTATGTTTTGGTTCGGACTTAGCGTTGACTATATTATAAATTGTTCATATTTACCTTGAGCTCGAGTCGAGTTTTCACATATATACTCATATTTGTCTTGGTTAAATTTTTTGAAAATTGTGTTTGGCATGTATTGATTTTTTTATATTAATGGACGAGCTAATATACAGACTAAAATTCGAATGACAATTTAACTTTTCATATAAAGTATTTAACAAATGATTTTACAAATTAAACAAATAAGCAATTAAACAAAATTTCAGGTAATCGCTAACTACTTTACACCAATTAAACAAGATAATAATAAGTTGTAAGTATGTTTTCTTGCAATTAAATAATATAAGTATTTAAAAATTATTTTATTTAAAAAAATTGTAAGAAATTTTATTAAATTATAATGCATATTGATATTAAAGTATAGTATGTCACTATTTAGTATAAAATTAAATAAGTTCTAATTCATAAAATTTTATTTAAATAATATATCGTATATCATATAAGTTATCATCGAGCTTACCATAGGTCTTAAGAAGTAATTTGTTGAATAATAAATGAGTTCGTTTGTGAACATGAATAAATAATTTGGCTATATTTGAATTTTGTTCATTTAAACTTACAGCTTTTAAAATAAAGGTCAAACTTGTTTATTTATTAATTTGAATAAATTTGATCGAGTATTAAATTAACCTATTTTAAATTGTTCATCAAGTGCATTTGTTCATTTAGAACCCTACCAATAACTGTTTCATAGCCTTCTTTTACTTTTTGATTTGACTTATCATTCATTTTATCCTGTAACAAATTATTAGTATCATCTGTATCTCTTAAAGAGATAAAATTAATAATGTAGCTACAAATCAAATTCTTAGTATACTCTACATAAATCAAATTAAAGGCTAGCTTAGTCTATCTTACTTTTTTGGCTATGCAGCTGTAAAATATTATTAAATTTCTTGATAATAATGAATTTATACTTTTATTTTATAATTTTTCAAGAACTCTCGAAATACATTTATATCTAGATGAACTACAAATAGGGCTAGGCACAAATATGATGCGGCTTTTTGGCTATATGCTTGACACCTGGAAGTATTTTCCGCTTTCATTATTATTTATATCTTAAATTATTATTCAGTACTATTATAAATTTATTAAAATAGTACTAACTGGTGCTTGAATAGTTCTTTATCTTGCAGCAAAAGAAGTCTATAAAAGTAAATCGCCTCGATATATACACTCATTTTATTGTTATTTTATTTTAGTCACATCTTTAGTGAATCTTCCCATGCATGTATATAAATAATTTGCTATTTTCTTGGCTTTTGTAATGTTAGAGTTGGAAAAAAAAAAAAAAAAAAAATCAAGATTTATGAAATGAGCGGCCTTATGAAAAGTTGGAGTTACACATCTTGTATTCTATCAAGTATTTCAAGAACCCACTCATACTTATCCTTATTAGTAAAACTTATAACGATTGCTTCTTTGGCCCTATCAATTGCTTCATATGGATCTTGTTCAGTATCAACTAATCAAAGGACCTTCAACAAATTGCTGCCTATTTTGAGTGCATATACACCAATATTTCAAAAGGATTGAGAGCTACAAATCATATTTGAAAATAATTGAAATTGAAAACTAATTAATAATATACAACGGAAAATAAAACAAGCAAACAGTCTTCAAGTTAGCAAATATAATAATTTGCTCTAATTCAATCGGTAAAGCATACAAGTTTTATGCTTTTGATGAGTGTAAGCCCTCAATTTCGTGAATCTGTCATTTTTTTAGAAAATGCTAACTTTTCACTAAATCATGATTACTATTATCTTTTGTTTTCTTTTGTTTCTCAACTTTTCATTTTTTCATATATTCTCTCAGGTTTATTAAGGGAAAGATGAAATTCTTGATTGTCTAATTTCTCTCAAAGGATGAATACCCCATAAGAGAAATATTTTGTGGTTCACAAAGGATTACTTGTATATATTTTTTTTTGTTCCATTGAATTTTTTGGATTCCCTTCTCTGATCATTTAGGGTAATATTAGAAGATTAATATTGGCCAATAAAAGTAAATAAAATGCTATTGAGGTAGGCAGTATGTAATTCATGGTCATTTCAAAGAGATGATAGGACTAGTACCTATTAAAGATATGATAATGTATTTTAGATATATGTGGTTTAGGCCGGTATATTGGGGCGCATAATATACAATCATTAAATGGTAGCTAGAATTAACGTGAATATTATGAATGAAAATGCATAAAGCTGAAAGTAATATGACAAAGTGTTATAACTTTATTTTATTTATTTGAACATAATAGAAATTAGTGCATCAGGCAGCAATTTTTTTTATTTGTTAACATAGGGGTCTACTGGCTTATGCAATAGCTAGGATAAAACTAATGATATTGATGTTGAATAAATATTCAGTTTTAGATTGGATGTTTAAATTATTGTCTACGTTGCTTTTGCAAGGATTTTTATGATATTTGTTTGAACTCAACTCAATGCTTTACATTATTCGTTGATAACTCCTGGAATAAATGGTGGATACCTATAGCTTAACAGTTTGTTTCTGATCTAATATTTGTATCGCATGCTTATCAATGATATGTATTCCAACCAATTGTTTGTAAAAGTATTGCTGTATTTCTCTAATTTCTCCTCTCAAACCACAAAACTGAGGAAAAAAATCAACAAAGCACTCTTTATTTTTCTTCAGAATCTTTTG